TTCACTTCTATTTCCTCATTCACTACATTATTCCTACTCATCCTCCATTATTATATTCATCCTCCTATTCTTGCTCTTCCTACTCACCCTCATCCTCCTGTACTTGTTACTCATCTTCCTACTATCGTTCTTCCTACTCATCCTCCTATTCTTGTTCTTCCTATTCCTACTCACCCTCATCCTGGTATTCTTGCTCATCCTGCTCATCCTTCCTCCTGCCCTCGCCTCAGCAGCTGCCGTGAAGCGCCTACACTCGTGTTAATTATCTGCTGGCGTTTAACTGTGGTAATTCACTCAGTGGCATTAAAATGATTACTTGGTCCTGAATACTCTTAACGACGCCTCCCTACATAATAAGACTCACTCTGCTCGCACCTCAAACTTCCTCAGAATTACAAATTGGTGAGAGGGTGGTGGTGGTGGTGGTGGTGGTGGTGGTGTGGTGGTGGTGGTGGTGGTGGTAGGTGGAGGTTATTGATGGTTGGTGAGTGGTAAGTGACGGTTGCTGGTTATTGGTTGTCAGCTGGTGACGGTGGTGAACGCTGGTTTTGGTTGTTCATGGATGGTTGAGGTGATGGATGTTGTGATGAATGGTTTGAAAAAACCGACAAGTTGAAGATTGAGACACTTATGCAACATATGGGAATCTTTATTCCTGAATAAAGATTCCCATATGTTGCTTAAGTGTCTCAATGGTGATGGATGTTGATGGATGGTGGTGGCGGTGCTTGATGGATGGTGGTAGTTGCTGATTGATGATGGAAGGTGGTGGTGGTTGGTGATTGTTGATGGATGATGGTGGTGGTTGCTGGTTGTTGATGGCTGTTGGTGGATTCTGGTTGTTGATGGGTGATGGTGGTTGCTGGTTGCTGATGGCTGGTGGTGGTTAGCGGTTGTTGATGGGTGGTGATGGTTGTTGATGGGTGGTGGTAGTCGTCTTGTTGGTTGCTGGTTGTTGATGGATGATGGTGATAGTGGTGGTGGTGGTGGTGGATGCTGGATGCTGGTTGGAGGGGCAGCGGTGGACATCATCTCTGATAGCCTATGTTTAAACTACACTTTTTAGTGAAACAGGCCTGTTTTTAGGCCTACAGGGTCAATATCAGTAAAACAGTCCTATAGTTTCAAGAATCTACTACCTGAAATAAGCATATACTTCACAAGATGTACTTCATGAAAGACGCCTAAACTTCATACGTTCTCCTTCCTTCCTTAAGCCTCAAGTATGTAAGTAGGTGTATAGTTTAAATTCCTGAGAGACTCTTCTCCTGTTTTTAAATACTGACGCAAAACTTGTTAATATTGATTTCGTCTTACTGGTTCTCAAAGACTTCTTAGAGTGTATAACTTTATTCTTCTATGTATAACTTTATTCTTCTATGTATAACTTTATTCTTCTATGTATAACTTTATTCTTCTATGTATAACTTTATTCTTCTATGTATAACTTTATTCTTCTATGTATAACTTTATTCTTCTATGTATAACTTTATTCTTCTATGTATAACTTTATTCTTCTATGTATAACTTTATTCTTCTATGTATAACTTTATTCTTCTATGTATAACTTTAAAACACAAGGTCATACCTACTGCTTTATTTTTAACTTCTCTCATGATTTTAGTACTCTCTTTTGTGTGTGTGTGTGTGTGTGTGTGTGTGTGTGTGTGTGTGTGTGTGTATGTGTGTGTGTGTATGTTGTGTGTGTGTGTGTGTGTGTGTACAAACACATGCAGTATACATGTGTTATCACGTTTATAATAAGGTTTATCTGAGCGGCTCTTTCCGCCAGAATTACGACCTTAATATTATAATACATTTTTAATCTATTTAAATAAAGTAATTTAATTATACTCTACCTTGTTATTGCATGTAATTATATATATATATATAATATATATTATTATATATATATATATTATATATATATATATTATATATATTATATCGGTATATGCAATGAGAGGGGTACAGTTAACAATGAGAGGGGTACAGTTAACAATGAGAGGGGTACAGTTAACAATGAGAGGGGTACAGTTAACAATGAGAGGGGTACAGTTAACAATGAGAGGGGTACAGTTAACAATGAGAGGGGTACAGTTAACAATGAGAGGGGTACAGTTAACAAACGATGTCTTTAACTGTTCCTTGAGAATTTGGAATGTGAGAGATCACGAAAGTCCTTGGAATTTATTTATTTATTTATTTGTTAAATTTTAGCTGCATATATGCCAATTTGATAACAGTTTAAAAATATTATAATTTCCTTCCAATATTTAGAGAATGCCTTTTATAATCAGCTTCAAACTTTCAGGCTTGTTGTATATTGCTCAGAGAAAGTTGCGCATTGTACGTCCTAGTTTCCAATTTTATTATATTAATCGGAAGCACTACGCCCGTAGGGATCATACAACAACCTGAATATGAGATATTTCCAACTCCCTGGATCAAGAGCTCCTCACTGGCACCAAGTAACCTCTTTTGAGGGGGCAAATTTGATTAAACAAATTGTGATATTGGGTTCCGTGTAATAACCAGATAATGACTCTTCCGATCATCTTCAAACTTGCTATACTGGTGCACCTGCAGTAAATTAGCTAATCTGGTAATTTACTGAAGAAAGTGAGTTTCCATGCGATATCAGTATGTACAATACTGATATTGTTACGGCAAGGTTGATATTGTGTAGGTGCCAGTGTTACACAAACCCTCAGCTGACAGTTATTTGCCAAGGCAAGATGTGACCATATAACTGGTTAAATTAGGTCTCCCTTCAGAGACACAAGCATAGTGGACTACATCACAATGTCTCACAGGTGTGCAAACACAGATCCTTGAAAAATCATGAAAATTTGCTTTTCCACGGTTTTTAAATTTTGACAAATGTATAAAACTGTTCCTTCATAAATTAATATAACAATAACACAATAGTTTTTATAATTATCTTCATTTTTCTTACTGTTCTCTTTAAGACTTTTAACAATTTAATAGTTTTATATAATAATGATGTCGGTTTGTTAGGCCATGAAACGAATACATGTAGTGTATAGTGTATACCTGGAGTTTACCTGAGAGAGTTTCGGGGGTCAGCGCCCCCGCGTTCCTGCATAAATATTTTCATTTTCAAACTGAGTTAAGTTTCAGCTCCTGGTCCTCTTAAAGGTAGTGGATCTATGGCTCCTGAGCCCTTTTTTGGTACAGATGCTAAACTTCTTGAGCCTCCTGGGCTCCTTTAACATGTTGATCTCCAGCTCCCCGACCTTCAGGAAGGGTTAAGTTATAGCTACCAGTTTTTTAAGCAAGCTGAGTTGCAGCTCCTCGGTCTCTTGAGGACCTCTTGCATGTATCGAGGTAAAGTAGGCTGGGATACGGTGATACCTTTTACCTGATCACTCAGCGATGAAAAGTATGTACCTGAGAGAGGACCGAGTTAGGTCAGTACAGTTATGTAGCGTGTGTTTAGCGACGGTGTGAGATAACCAGAGTGAACAAGGATAAGAGTAAAAGGACAGAAGTGCAACTAATGTGACATTTTACTGTGGCAGCGTTTCGCTCTCCAGGAGCTTTGTCAAACGAAACGCTGCCACAATAAAATATCACATTAGTTGCACTTGTGTCCTTTTACTTAACATATTGTCTGTAATTCTACCAACAATATTATATGGGTAAATAAACCCTTCCACCCTCACTATCCTTAACACAAGGTCCGCTTCATCCCACACAACCATCTCTTCAGATTTTAAGATACAAAAGCACTGACCATATGAGATACTTGGTCATCATACCACTTAAACAATTATTACCATTAGTAAGCCAATCATGGGTTCAATTAACAACGTCTCAAAAGATGACATTACTGTAGAATACGTAGAAATACACTGATAATTATCTATTACAGTCTTAGTCAGGGATGTAACTCAGGAAGATTAATATCACTACTAAGGGAGATTGAGTTTACGGGGAATAATAAGACCATGGGTACCAGGCAAACCGAAATCTCACCTACAGAATAAAATAATCCAGTCCACAAATAACCCACACATAGGAGAAAGAAGCTTAGGACGTTTCGGTCCGACTTGGACCGAAACGTCGTCCTAAGTTTTCCTATGTGCGGGTTATTTGTATATTGTTTCAGTCACGGTATTGTGCTTTTTTCTTCTTTATAGAGTCCAGTCTCCACTAGCAGCTGTCACCTCCAGCAGAGGCTCCTGGCCTAGTTCTCTCTCTACTCTCCTTCCTTGGTCATATCAAGGTCCATACTTCAGATTTTCCTCATCTGAAAACTAGTAACATGGCAACACTCTGGGACACTACTCTCATGAACAAGAGTGGAGAGACAGTCTCCTGATCTCACCACGGAGGATGGAGCCTCCACTTTTCTGTACGCTTAATGACCCAGCGGAGTCATCCGCGTTGATTAATTACGTTTCTGACCTGTACTTGACGCTGGATGACTTAGAATAATAGAATCAGCTTCGTTTTCTGTGCAGCTAAATTTTCCTGTAAATGAAGGCTATACTTTTATTGTATTTTATGTAGCTTAAGATACCTTAAATATCTTGCTGCTCTCTGGTTGTGTCCGTCTCTTAGTTTTTTAATTGTATACAAGTACCTGGGACCAACTTTCCCCTCTCTTTCCTCCCACGGTGTTCACAAGTACCTGAGATAAACCTTCCTTTCTTTAAATAACAAAAAAGGCACAATACCGTGACTGGAACGATACACAAATAACCCGCACATAAAAGAGAGAAGCTTACGACGACGTTTCGGTCCGACGGTTTTCCGTCGGACCGAAACGTCGTCGTAAGCTTCTCTTTTATGTGCGGGTTATTTTTGTATTGTTCCTTTCTTTCTCTCCCTTCTCCCACATTGTTTACAGGTACCTGGGACAAACTTTCCCCTCTTTCTCTCCCTTCTCCCACATTGTTTACAAGTACATGGGAACAAACCTTCCCCTCTTTCTCTCCTTGGGACTAACTTTTTCTTTCTTCCTCCGGCAGGTGAAAAGCCGCACAAGTGCACGGTGTGTGGAAAGGCGTTCAGTCAGTCGTCGAACCTCATCACCCACAGCAGGAAACACACAGGTTTCAAGCCCTTCTCCTGTGACCTCTGCGGCAGAGCCTTCCAGCGTAAGGTCGATCTCCGCCGACACAAGGAAACTCAACACACCGACCTCCGCTCCCAGCAGGTCACCGACCTGAGGTCGCAAGTGACTGACATGCGCTCCCCGGTCGCCGACATGCGCTCCCCAGTAACCGACATGCGCTCACCAGTCGCCGACATGAGGCCGCAAGTGACGGAAATTAGGTCGCCGATCTCAGACATGAGGCCGCAGCTGACGGACATGAGATCGCAGATGTCGGACGTCAGGTCACAAATGTCGGAAGTCAGGTCGCAGATACCGGAAGTGCGAAGTCCAGTTACCAGCCTGAGGAACCACCTCGGTGACCTCCACCCGCATGTCAGTGACGTCAGGAGCCAGATCACAGCGCACATCACCGACATCAGGAACCAGATCAGCGACATCCGGCCCTCGCTCAATGAAATCCGGTCATCAGTCAGCGATATCAGGCCTCAGGTCACCGAGATCCGGACCAAGGCCAGTGAGAACGGGTCCTCCGGGACCGGTAGTGACCTGAGGTCAACACCGATATCGGATTTTAGGTCACAAGTGCTTGATCTGCGACCCCAGGAGCTGAGGCCTCTCAGCTAGGTGTTGCTACACTAATGAACTGCTGCATCTCCATCTGGGGACTTCTCCCAGACGGCCTCAACCATCTGCTGTGGGCACTGCCACCAGCTATGTTGACCCACACCAGTTTCCAGATGGCCTCAACCATCTGCTGTGGGCACTGCCACCAGCTATGGAGACCCACATCAGTCTACAGATGGCCTCAACACCACCTGCTGGTGGGAACTACTACCAGCTGCAGTGTGACCCATACATCAGTTTCTCTGGTGACCTACTCCCGTTGCTGCGATCACCAACTGTGCTAGCAGGGGGTCGAATTTACTGGCCCTGCCTGGTATCTAATTGTTGCAGGGGCAGTCTTCAGCTGTTGTTGCCATGACTACTTTCAGGTGCTGTTAGAACAAACTCCATGTGCAGCTAAAGCCTTGAGGTGCTGCTAAAAACTCCAGATGCTGTTTAAACATCTCTAGATGATTTTAAAACACTCAATGCTGTTTAAATGACCTCCAATATTGTTAAAATGACATTTGGGTGATAAAAACACCTGTAGGTGTGACAAAATGATCTTAAGGCGCAGCTAAAATGACATCCAAGTAGTTTAAATGACATCAAGACTTGTTTAAACGATTCCAGGGGGTTTAACGGTTTTTAATGCGGTTTAAAAGGCCTCCAGCTGCTGTTAAAACGGTCTTCAGGTTCTGTCTAAAGGGCCTCCAGCTGCTGTCAAAACGGTCTTCAGGTTCTGTCTAAAGGACCTCCAGCTGCTGTCAAAACGGCCTTCAGGTTCTTTCTAAAGGACCTCCAGCTATCAAAACGACCTTCAGGGTTGTTTAAAAGACTTTTTGGTGCTGTTTAAACGACCTCAAGTCAACAGCAGCTGTGGAGCGTCTCTCACATGGTAGCTTCATGGTCACAAACCAGGCAGGAACGCCAGGCTGTGACCAGACTCACCAAGCCAGCACTAACATAAACAATCCAGGTGATCTTGATACAGGTATCCCTATACGGACATGTTACAGTCTAGTCATGAGCACCTCCAAGAGGCCTGACTCTCACGCTAACTCGCCATGACCATGCTATGCTACCAACAGCCCAAGGAGATGGCGTCTCAAAACCTCCTCCAATAAAACTGACCAAAGACAATGCCAAATAAAGAATTTTATTACTCTTCATCTTTTAAAAACTACCATACCATCATATTTTTTGACTGACAAATTTCTAGTTTTGTCGTCAGCCAAGGTTTCTCAACAACGAATTTAGTGGGTAGGTGTGATTTACGGCAGTTATCCCCGAGAAACGTGCGTTTTCCTTCTAGCTCAGCTTCGGGCCGTTGTTATTGTTGGGTTGAGGGGTCACAACGGCCCTATGGCCATATAAACCCTGGCCTCGGGGCGTTGTTGTTATTGGGTTGAAGGGTTACGACGACCCTGGGGTTTCATAATCCCTGTCTTAGGGACGCTGTTGTTGTTGCCTTTAAGGTTTATGAGGGCCCTGAGGCCGCACAAACGCTGGCTTCGGACCGTTGTGCTACTGTCTTGCTAGCATTGTTAGCAAACTAGCAAGATACAACACATTCAGAGACCAGGGGAAAAGCACCAGCGTTTCTCGGAGCATCGCTCACGACTCCTGTGGTTAGACTTACCTGTTCGTGTTACCTTCATTTGTAAGTGTTGCATTCATCTTTAAATGTTCCTATATTTTAAATCTCACACATCACTTCCTTTTCGTCGTACATGGACTGAATTCTGGAACAGAATCTTCCCTGAGGTGGTGACAACCCCATTTACCCTGCACACTTTCAGTCCTCTCCCCCATCCCCCCCCGACCTGCCCAACGCTATCAGTCTTGACTTAAGGACA